GGTCGGAGTGAAGACAGCTGACACGACGACCACGAGTGTCCTTTGTGGTAAGCAACCACCTGGTCAGCGTAGAAGTCACCTCAGACTTCTTTGCAAGGGGGAACACTGTGGTGTAGCGGGAGTAGTCGTCAACGACCACCAGAAAGAAACGCTCACGCTCAGGGCCAAGGCGAGAGGCGGGGCCCCAGACGTCTAAGTGGAGCGTCTCAAGGGCTTGGTGGCCGGACGAAGGGAGGAGGACTGAGGGGTGGCGCGCAGCCTACCCTCGACGCAGGGACCGCACGGTGGTGCAAGCGAAGGCGGCAGCGACGGCAAGACACGTGGGAGGCCTTAGACAAGACGCTGACGAGACATAGCACGCAGACGAGGGAGAGACGGGTGCCCCATCTGGTGGTGCCACAGAACGGTGGGGTGGGCAAGTGATCGGCAGGAGCACGACGCAGCAACTGGACCAGACACGAGAACCTGACCAGACACAGCTACCTGGGGGGGCGCAGCAACCTAGTGAGACGCAGGGACCAGACTGGGGGAAGGAACAGGGGCCGGGGGCAGTAGTCGCTGCTGCTGCTGCGGTTGCTGCTGCTGCTGCCCACCAGAGCCAGTGTGAAGTGTGTAGAGACCAGAGCCCAGCTCAGCTGTAAAGGTGGCAAGAGGCGTGTAAGTGTCTCCGTCAACACAAATCGCCGTCTCACCAGAGGGCTCAATCCACACACCCACGTGCTGACTCACAAGAGGCCTCACGCCCACCAAGTTCCGCGAGAACGAGGGGACGTGGAAGCCAGTCAGAGACCCAGAGGGAACAGCAGGTCACGGAAGAGTAGTAGTGTAGCGAGCAGTGACTGGTCCCGAGGTGGGATTAGCCAGAGCCACTAAGACCGGCGCCGGAAGCGGAGTAAGTGTCGTGTGATCCCGGAAGAAGCAGTGCGAAGCCCCAGAGTCCAAAGTGAAAGACAGCGAAGTGTCCTCCGAAGTAGCTCCTGGACTAGTGTCTACACAAGTGCCTACACTAGCAACAGGCAACTCAGCAAGACTAGCACCTAAGCTATCAACAATCGAGTAAACCGAGTCTGAAGCACTAGAGTCAACAACAGCATACATAGCATGAGGAGTTCCTAAGAGATCAACCAACTGAGAAGCTGACATGCCCCAAAGAGCGGAGCCGTACGTCTGAACAAGAGGAAACCAGTCAAGGGCAGGGCCACCAACGCCGAAGGCCAAGCGAACCGTGTCAGTGAGCTGAGCAAAACACTTACCAGGAGGGTGGGCGCAGCCACAAGGCTGGCCTCGGCGAGCACCAATCAAAAGCTGATAGGTGCACGAAGGGTGAACAACACCTCGCTGGGGCTGGCGCTGTCCTGGACCCGAAACCTGCTGCTGCCGCTGCTACTGCGAGGGCTGCTGCGAGGGGAGGGGCTGATACTGCCGCTGGGCCAGGTACCACGCCGCTGCTCCACCCACCGCGGCCGGCAGACCAGAAGGTGGCTGACGAGCCCGGGTGTCGCCTCCACCAGCTGCAGTAGGGGAGTCACTGGCCGCTGCACGAGACGCCTCTCCAGGCCTTGCGCTCCCTCCGCCACCAGTCGGCACGCCACCCCCGCCACCTCCGCCGCCAACGCCTCCACTGCCGCCGCCACCTGTACCCTGACCGCCCCTCTTGCCACCTCTACCTCGAGACCGCGAAGAAGTCGTAACAGCAGCTGCAGTCACATCAGCAGCAGCAGTGGCGAGAGAGGCTGTAAAGGTGGGCACCTCAGGGACAGTGCACCCGTGGAACAGTGGAGGGGGCATAGCACCAGAGGCGGAGGCTACGGAGCGGAGGTTGCTCTCGACGTCCTTGAGCGCAGACTCAAGGACCTCAATAATGAGCTCACTAGGGTGCTTCAGAAGAAGCGTATCACGGACCGAGGCAAGGCGGTCAGGGAGGCTAGTGGCGATGAAATAGATAGTAATCGCCATGGGGGGAGGAAGCAGTGCAAGCTGTGCCTTAGTGCAAGCAGCGCGGTAGCTATAATCAAGCGAGAGGAGGTGAGAAATCAAGTCAGCAGAGCGCTCAAACGAAGCGAGGTCAGGGAACAGGAACGGTAGGAAGAGTCGGCCAAGAGAGACAATGGTGGGAGTAGCGTAGTGGGCCTTAATCGCAGTCAGGAACTCACTAGCAGTGCGAACCTGAGTGAAGTGGACCTCCTCAGACTCAGGGAGGAGGCTGCTAAGAGCGATGCAGGCCGCAGCGTCACGCGACTTCCACGCCGTCAGGTCAGCTCGCTGGCGGGTAAAACGGTCCCTGGCTGCGTCGTCAGGGGCGGTGCCTAAAGGCGTAGGGTCGTCGGGTGCTGGAAGGTCACCAGTAGCATGCGCCCAAAGGGATTCGCCCGCCTGAACCTGACTCTCTAAAAGGCGACGCGCGCGTAGGAGCCAGACCGGAACCTCGAGCGGTCTACCGTCAGCGTAAAAGCGAAGAACCCTAGGGGTCGCCATAGTGTAAGTAAAAGCGACAAGTTCGGCGGCGGGTGGCACTGGTAGGGATGGTGGGCGGCTGGGGCAAGTCCGTGACGGGCGCAAAACGCGGGCACAACAGGGCTAGGGGCGGTCCCGCGACGGACTGAACGAGTAGGCGCAGCGGTGCGAAGGAAGGGCCTAACGAGTGGGCCCGCATCAGACTTAACGAGGAGGCGCGGTGGCTGGCTGAACTGGCAGGCGCGGCGGTTGTAAGGGAGGGCCCACGGCGGCTGTAAGGGAGGGCCCGCGGCGTGCCTGAACGAGGAGGCGCGGCGGCGGGCGGTACGGGCAGGCGCGGCGGCTGTAAGGGAGGGCCCGCGGCGGCTGTAAGGGAGGGCCCGCGGCGGGCCTAACGAGCAGGGGCGGCGGCGGGCGGTATGGGCAGGCGCGGCGGCTGTAAGGGAGGGTCCGTCGCGGCTGTAAGGGAGGGCCCGCAGCAGGCCTATCGAGCAGGCGCGGCTGCGGGCGGTACGGGCAGGCGCGGCGCGCGAGCGGGCGTTTAGGGCAGCAGGGGGAGGACGCGACGCGACGGGCAGGGTGGGAGGGCACTTTGCGACGAGCAGCGGGGGAGGGCGTGACGGGACGGGAAGCCGGGGAGAGCGCGACGCGACGGGCAGGGGGGGGAAGGCGCTACGCTACGCGGAAAGCGGGCTGGCGGAGTGGGCGCTAACGAACGAGCGAGACTGGATCGTGCCGGCGCTAGGCTCGGGCAAGACGGGTACGACTAGTACGAGAGAGCGAGACCGGATCGGGCTGGCGCTAGGCTCGGGCAAGACGGGTACGACTACTACGAGAGAGCGAGACAGGCTCGGGCGGAACGAACGAGGATGGGAGGAGCGGGATCCCACAGGATCTTAACTTAGGTGATACCATGTCAAGAATCAAAGTGTTGTGTTATTGATGAGGATTGGGGTACATATAGCAAACCCTAACATTTGTACCCCCTATGACAAACCTCACTACAGGCTACAACATTTAACAGTACCGTAGTTCCCTTCCCAGGTTAGCTGGGCAGAAGGTACCGTATCACCCCGGAGAGTAACGCATATGCGCTTATAATAAAACTAAAAATTTTAAGGGGGGGGGGGGGGGGGGGGGGGGGGGGCGCTTGTAATTGAGTCTAGGGCGTAAGCGCATGCTCTTATATAATGACAATCACAAAAATATATTTCTAGAGCACCAAATTGTACATCTACTTCTTGCCATTTCAACCGAGTCGAAATGTTTTCGTGTCACCAAGCAGAATCGCGCGGAAGCGATACTCTGCCAATACAGAAGCCCTGTTCGGTAGCCTTCCAGTCACACTGGGCCCACTCGAACTGGGGAAGCCTACGATATGTTTCGTAGCCTCGGGCGTCCACTAACACTGAAAGGAAGTCTCGTCCACAAATGCAAGAAGTTACCGTGTGTTTCTCGAGAAATTACTGGTCGAAACTTTTACTTCTGTACGAGGCTGCCCAGATCACAAACAAAAAACAGCCCGCCAAATGAAGCACCCTCGATATGGATAAAAGAAAATCACGAACGGGCACGATCTCTCATCGTTTGAACGAGCGGCTTGAGAAACATAATTTGACCCGATTCGAAACTAATACAGCGTTTACCCTACAGCGTGCCATTCAGAGAGGGCCTGCCTGAGTGGAACTGGAAAGCAGAAATGGGGTTGACTTTCACTGGCGGTCGAGCTTGCCTGAGCAAGCATTTTCGTGGTAGCGTCCTCAACTCCACTCGGGCTGGGTTTTTCACGCGTTCGGTAGCCAACTTGCGCTGGGCATGTATGGTGTTCTAATAACGGTTTGGTGGGCTTTAAGGTGAGTCAAAATTGGGCGGAGGAAGAGCACCTGCACCAACCGCAGTGTGACTGGGGGGGCTACCGAACAGGGCCAGACATATTTTGCCAGCTCATCCTGACTGGACGCGAAGCCAGTCAGGTCTTCGCGAGTCAAACCAAGCGAGAATGAAATCGAACTCGCTGCAAAAATGAAACTCGATGCCGTTTTGAGCACGAATTCGAATTAATATTGTACGTGCGCTTATAATAAGTAAAGGTTTTTTAGGAGGGGCGCTTATAATTGAGGACCAGCCATAAGCGCATGGCTCCAGATAGAAGCGCCGGCGCTTTTAATAGGACGGCGCTACTATCCGGGGTGATACGGTATCACATCACATTCTCCATTAGAAATTGATGATTTCTCTTGAACTGATATTGAACATTGAAAAAGCATGGGTGCAAGCTACAGGGTATAAAAGGCGAGAAGCGAAGGAATCACGAAACGAGAGCACCACACAGACTAAATTAAGATTACCATTGCTTAAACATAATGGTGAATACCACGTGATGATCAAAGAATGCTCGTCCCACTGACTTGACTTGACGATGTCCGAATAAATGGAAATTGGAATGTGAGAGCTGCCATGCCTCTGCATGCGTGAGATGCCTCTCCTTCGGTTTGTGGTATTGCACGTGTGTCAAGGAGCAGCATGACTCGGGGGATTCAGGGAGCATGGTGCATCCTTCAGCCAAATTGTAATTACACTGGTACCGAATGCTTTTCTCTATCCTGCTCCGCTGTGCTGCCCTTCTCTGCTCGTATCACCAACCGCTGCGCCTAGAGAGAGGGAGGGGAGAACGCATGGAGAGACGGAAAATTGCATGGGGATAGGTACAGAGGGCAATCGAACTGGAAAAAGGTACGTGCACGGGGACACAGTGCAGGAAGAGGAGGGGGAGAGGAAGGGGGAAGGGAAGGGGGAGAGGGAGGGGGTGAGAGGGGAAGTGGGAGGAGGAGGAGGAGGAGGAGGAGGAGGAGGAGGAGGAGGAGGAGGAGGAGGAGGAGGAGGAGGAGGAGGAGGAGGAGGAGGAGGAGGAGGAGGATTGTAGGGCTACTTCCGGCGGCACTGCTGTGGAAGCAGTGGCATCACCAGGGGCGCCAGCCGCATCACCAATGCTGCTGGCAGCAGATTGGGCGTTGGGTCAGCCAATAGCCTTTTTGGTTGAGGTGAGCACACAGGAGGTCAGGACGCCTGGGTGTGGACGCCACGTTGTGCTGCAGGTACAGGCGAATGGCAGGCGAATGGCTCCCTCAGACTGGAGGGCCCTGAGAGAGGGAAGGACACTAAGAGCACGGGCATGGCGGGAAGGGAAGGGCGCATAGGCAGAGGGTAAAGGGCGGGAAGACTGGCTCCACTTGCCTTTTGTGCTACGGAACAACCCAGCTGCAACTGCGTCCGGTGAGGCGTCTTTGGGGGTTATGGGTCATGGAGGACGGGAAGCAGCACGTGCCGGTCGTGCAACACGAACCACATGGGGCTGAATGGGGGGGGTGCTTCGCTGCCGCGTCGTGTGGCTGCAGCTGTATGGAGCAGCCTGTGGCTGGTCACGCCCTCTTGGAGTTGAGTTGAGAGCGCTAGACGGGTAACAAGCAGGTGGGGGTTGAGCAAGGTGGAGCACAAAGGGCAGAGGGACGTGAGTTGGAGCGGATAGAATGGGAGCATGGATGCAATAGCAAGGGCAGATGGTGGAAAGAGGTTGGCGGTTAACATATGGTGGATGAAATCAGGTTTCTTTGAGACGTATGGTAACAATGCGAGGAATGGCGCCAAGACATGAAGGGAGCGAGGCAACGGGAATGGGAGAAAGGGGAGAGTGGAGAGATATTTTTTGGGTGATTTCAAAATACGCCAACAACACCAATGGAAGAAACGGGAGGAGGGGCAGCTTGAAGAGTGAGTGAGAAACGAGAGAAGCGCGGGATAAGGGGAAAAAGGAGGATGGAGCAATCTCGGTGGGGATGCAGGATGGGACCTGTATGCTGAGTTCCTAAGTGCCTCGAACATTGCGAGCTGAGTGCTTCACCAATAAAAGGTGTATCGTAATTTTAACTTACCTTAACAGGGGTTCCCGCACTTCCCAGGAAGCCCACCTCTTACAGTTTACAAGCTGACCTCACTGATCTGAACAGAAATGAACAGCTCTGGCAGCGCAGAGTAGGTGACTTCTGAGTTGACTCAAAAGTCACCAATCTGACCCCCTTTTTATCAGCATCAAACAGCTCTGCCTGCACAAAACAGCACAGCACAGACAGCAGCCACAGCCCTGATTACGATAAGTACAATTGGGAAGAAACGAGGGAAATGGGATAGGAGGGTGCAGGAACTGAGAAAGGAATTGCAGGAAAAGGGGAAACGGGCAGAGGGAAGTGGGGAAGGGAATTGTGGGGATGGGGTAATAAGCAGAGGGGAAGGGGGCAAGAAATCGCAGGGAAATGGGCAGTGGGGAATGAGCAGAGGGGAATTGCAGGGTATGGGGAATGGGCAGTGGGGAATCGTAGGGAATGGGGAGTGGGCAGAGAGGAGTTAGAGGGAGCATCGTTGGGATTGTTGTTCATATGTGTCGCTGACTGGATTTCCTTGGGCGAGATCATGGTGGAGTGGAGAGGGGTTGATAAAGAAAACAAGATCCAGCGACCTTGAAGGCTAGCCGGTGATTGGAATGAGACCCGAAAAACAGGTGTGACATGATAGCGGTCATCAGGAATAGAAGATGGTGATTGCGGGAGTGCCGCAACGTGAAATCGACACTCAGCGACTATAACACAGCCTAGAGGATAGGTGACCTGTGGGGAAGCAGTCCAAGGTAAGGCAAGCACGTGTGAGAAGTAATCCACTCACGTATGGCAAGCAGCGTGGGTGGGGTGGAATTGGGAAGTCCTTGCGAATACGAGCTGGTGGGCGAGGTACGAGCGGGGTTGGGTTGGCATAAAGTCAGAACTTGAAGTTCTCTCAGTGGCGTGATTTTCGGAATGGGTGGCATGGGAAAGAGTGGTTGTTGTGGCACAGCTGAATGAGTGAACTCCGGATTGTGAGTGACTGGCATGAGTCGCATGACAGGGTAACAGCTTGCGATGTTCCCCAAAGACTCTCAACAGACTCAGGCTTGTTCTCGTTATGGCCCCAACCTGAGTTGAAGTGACCCTGTAACGAAGGCAACCAATTCACCTCAGCGCCCCAGCGCCCTAGCAAGCTCTGAGACGGCCTCTGAGACCATCTTCCATCACTTCCTTTCCAAACCTTCCAAGGCTCTTCTCCGAGCGGATCCGAGGCAGCGGCACAAGGCAAATTGCCCGGGCCTCAAACCAGACTCAAGGTTCCAAGCCACCTCTGTCATGACCTTTAATACCCACGCCCCTTTGCTGCGCACTCGTCTGTAAGCCCCCGTGCAATTGTTCCGCCCTCTACTCTCACCTTTGCTCTGCCCTCAGCTCTGCCTGCTGCAGCGGGTTCTGCAGGCTCACGCAGCACCACTCTTGCCATGTCGTCTGGGTGCAGCAAGGAGGAGCAGGAGGCGGGAGATGAGCCACTGACACTGCCATTGCCGGTGCTGACGGCACTGCCGCTGGAGAAACTCGTGCTGACAGCTCAGAAACGATTGTCCCATGGGAGCAGATCGGGGAAACATGGGTGGAACGGGAGAAAGTGGGGCAGAGGAGATAAGGGGAGGGAAAGGGGAAGAGAGCAGTTACTACCGTATATCCACACTTGAATGGCGTCCAAGGCGGTTCAATCCAACAGCCCGGAGTTTTAATAGATATTGCAAGGAGAAGAAGGAGAACAGAAGATGGGAGGAGATGGAACTATGTGCGCTGGGAAGAAACGGAAAGAGCATATACGAGAAAAAAACGAAAGTGGGTGTACTGCTGGATGTGCGGCGGTTGAAAGCGGTGCTAAGGGCCCTTGAATGACAGGCGCGTCTGGGAGACCTGCTGCTATGCAGCGGGACGGAGAGCGGGTGTGGATCGATACAGACAGACAGATGCGGGCAGGGAAGCCGGAGGGAGACGTGGGTGGCAGAATGTACTTTACTTTGATGCTTCAGAATCAACCACATCAAAACAACACACCATCACTGGCAAACGGTAGGTCAAAGTCAGCAGTCAGCTGGAGTCAACATGGAAGCTGTGAATTCAACTTCAATACAGTCACAAAAGAAATAGCACAAATGGTCAGCTCGGAAACTCACATACTCACAGCTTACACCAGAAACGAGAATCAGAGGAGGCATAGTCGAACCACCAGGTCTTGAGCGTTGCATGAGGCAGCTTGACACGTCACATAGTGGCTGAATACGTGGCAATGCCGAGCACGCACGAGATGACGGGCCCCACGACTGTACGAATCGCCAAGGCGTCGCCTGGACGGCGGAACCGAGGAAAAGAGGGGGAAAGGCCGAAGCGGGGAGGAATGGGAGAGGAGGGGGAAGCAGGGGGGGGAGGGAGAGGCGGAGGGGGAGAATAGGGGGAGGGGAAAAAGGCTGACGCTATCTTGGATAGCTAGTGAAGATTTGTAGCCGCGTTTTCTGAACCGGAATTTCCCAACGGCGTTATCCGAACAGACTTATTCTCAAAGTTGCAAAGACGTTAAAGAAGAAAGACTACTGGAGGAGACAGCCGGCGAATATAGAAACGAGACGGCTGGACCTGCTGGATTGGCTAGGTTATACTTTTTTTCTCAAGCCGCCTTGAATGTGTATTCCGGCTCTAACAGAATGCAGAAATAGTTGAAGTTGCGAATTCCAGGAGTAGCGGGGGCTTGGCCGAGGAGGCCGGGAAAAAATCCTGCACCTGATCGGATAACCACGTCCGTGCATGGCCATGATTCACGTCCACCATTCTCCTCTTCGAAATTGAGCAGTGGTGCTTGAAGCGGGAACAAAGCAGCTAGGATTGGGCTGCGAGCGAGGGAAAGGTGGAGGGATGGGTGAAGATTTCAGTTTCGACGACTAAGGGCGTGGGCCCAATTGGGTTTGATCGCGACTGATCTGATCGAGTCGGATCTGATCGGGTTGCTTGTGATCGCAATGCCCGAGCCGCCCGATCAGTGATGTTTTTCGAAGGTTTCAAGCGCCTGCTTAGCAAGTGCGGTACATTCACCTCGCATTTTCGTCCCCATTCTAGCGAGATTGGCGACTTACGTCACCTGGCGAACAAATTCGTTTCAATGTAAGTACAGCAGTGTAACTATTCGCAAGCGTCGCTGTGGCCCCCGATCACATGCAATCAGGTGATCGCCTGTGATCGAGGAAAATCGACTATGATCGGGGTGTAAATCGGGGCTGATCGAGCTGGGCGATCAGTTGATCGCGATCAGCTGATTGCCCCTTATTGCCTGAATTTGGCTTCCAGGCTTCCTGGAAATTGTTGATCGTGGCTGATCGAGGCGATCAAACCCGATTGGGCCCACGCCCTAACGATGAGTTGATTTCGTCCAATTTGTTACTGGGCTCAGTTATTCACCTTGCTTGGCAGCTTCGAGACTTGATGGTGGCACCACATGGTAACATCATGCGAAGCATGCTTCGAAATCTTCTCCACGGGGATTGGAGTTGACGAAACGGATTACGATACTCGCGAGCTCCACTCGACGACTTGCGCCATTCGCGCTTGGTTTCGTCATAAGCCGAACAGCAAGCCGAAGTGAGCCTATAAACTAAGGCAACAAGCACGTCTCCCCGCACTCGCAAGGTACGACCTTCAAAGGTTCTCCTCGAAACAGATCTGAGAGGCAGCAGAACGAAACCGAGGGAAATGTCTAGGCCCGAAAGCACTCCCGTCCCTAAGATCTAAGCCAACGCCATTCACGCAAGACAGCTGTGTGTTCCCCACCTCTTTCCTTGTAGTTGATAGAACTAATAATTGCCACGCCTGGACTCGCATCCCGATAGAGTCATGTTGCGAGCGTTGTTTAATCAGCTGCCGGACGAGCTCATCTGCCTCATCTTCTGTTGCCTAAACAAGCAGTCACCCAGCTTCTTCAATCATGCGTTGGTCTGTAAACGTTGGAATCGCCTCGCTTACCTTGCACAGACGTCCATCGCCAACAGTCCGCCTTGCCTTACAGTGGATGCTAATCTTTTAAAATCTCTCTCCCAGTTCAAAGGCTTGACTTCTCTCACGTTCAACAAGTTCTTTATCGATCCGGATAACGACGAGTTCATCCGTGGCCTGGGAGCTGCCTGTCCCCAGTTAATTCATCTTGACCTGAACAACGGGTTTGAAAAAGGAGTGACGTATGAAGGCTTGGATGCCCTTTTCACAGCGTGCACTGCGTTACAGTACCTCTCCCTCGATATAAGGGCAGCCTGCGATACTGAAGATTGTGATTTGCCACCATCCTTTTTCAGCCTAGCATCCTTGAAAGAGGTCAAGTGGCGCGTGAGTGTCGAAGATATTCCTGATCTGTTCGATAATTTAAGGTCCCTGACGAAGCTAAAATTCGCTACCTCGTGGAATTACGCCCTTCCGCCTTCATTTGGCCGGCTCACCGGACTGACTGATCTAGAGATGAGTTATTCGCATTCCTTCGACGAGCTACCGGACGCCTGGTGTGATGTGAAGTCACTGATCCGACTCAGCCTTATTGAAATGGAGGTGTTAGAGGCTCTCCCTGACACTATCAGCCAGCTTCAGAACCTCCAAGAGTTTCACTTCAAAACCAACTCCGCCCTTACCAAACTCCCAGATTCCTTTTTCCAACTGACTTCCCTCCGAGTTCTTGAGCTTGTCAAATGTGAATGCTTCGAAGAGCTTCCAAGCATTGTGTCAGGCCTCATTTCTCTCACAACGCTAACCATCAGAAATTGCCAGGAGTTTGCTACGCTTTCTGACTCCCTCTGCAGTATTTCTAACCTCCGTGTGCTGGTCATCAGAAACTGTCCAAGGCTCGGGGTCCTTCCAGAAAGCATGGGTCGCCTATCGTCTCTGGAGCGTCTCGAGCTGTGCCAACTCAGAAGCATTACCCACATTCCGGGTTCCTTCTCCAATCTCTCCAATCTCCGCAACTTGTCCTTCAATCACTGTGACAACATTCCTGTAGTCTATCCATGTCTGCCTCGGTTTTGGACCAGCCTCACAGAGCTTGAGTTTGGTTGGCCAGCCAACTGCAGGGCCAGCAGCGAGGATGAAGAAACCTTCATGTTGTCTCTTTTCCGGCTCTCGAATCTATCATCGCTCTTTCTGGTTGGCCCTTTTAGTCTTTCTTCGCTATCAGATGAGATTGAGAATCTTTCGCGGCTGCAGCGGCTAACTTTAAGTTTTTTGCCCAATTTGGTCTCCTTGCCCAAGACTATTACCAGCCTCACCAACCTCAGGACTCTCATGATCATAGTCTGCCCGAGCTTTGAGGATGAGGATGATACCATCTCCAAGATTCCAAATCTGGACAGTGGATGTGTTGACAGTAGGCTGCTGGGAAATGGACCGTTCGGTGGGAAGAATTGAGTCATAGGGTGGGGAGGAGGGTGTTGGAATTTTGCAGGGTTGTTGGTAGGGTTCAGAGATTGGGCCGCTTTGATATAGTTTGGTAGGTATCTTGCCATCATGAACAGCAGGCCGTTGAAATTGTACTTTGTAATGTCCATATCACCCATTGGTATGGTATGCGTTATGGTTGACATATGGTGGTCTGGTCTCAGTGCATATACCGTACTTACCATAATTGCTATCCTGCATCTCACCTGCATGTGGCTCTCATCCAGAGTATACCGTAGATGTTCCACTTGTGTCTTTGAAAAACAAAAACAATTCTAACCTGCACTGTTGCATCGATATAAGTACCGTATCTCCCCAGCAGACCCTCATGAGCCCCTCCGCATAAGTGAACCTGCTCCACCTGCTGATCTGCTGCCTGCTCCACTGCCTGTTGCACATGCTCTTGACACATGCTGCCACGCTGCTGCTGCGCTGCATCCACGCTGACTGCCCTCACAAGTATCCAATCCAACACTCTGCCCAGGCCACACACACAGGCTACAGGCCCATGCCTCACCGTCATGATGTACCACGTGATGACAAGAGAGTGGAGAGGTTAAACGGTGTACAGTGCGGTGGGCTGGGCATATGAAGGCAACGCACCACGATGAAAAGGAAGAATGAACCATCGGATGCGCCTCAAGCCAAGTGACGCTGCTGGTCCATCATGCACCACATGCTGTCGCCTTGTGGTCACTGCAGTGGGATTTTAAGGGGAAAGAGGCTCGAAAGCGAAGGCAGACGTGGTACGGCGGGGATCGAGTGAGGCAAGGCTGAGTGACCAACAAATGGCTGGCATTCGCTGAAAAAAACTCGTTTAGAGGCAGAAGAAGTGGGAAGGTGATTGCAGGGAGTACAATGAGTGCACTAAACCTGCTCTACATTGCCCTGCTCTGTCCTATTTGCCTTTACCCTGTTCTGTGCTGCTCTGGTCAGCCCAAACCCCCAAGGAATCATCTCTTGAGACAGCTAGACATGAAGATGATTCCTGTGGCAGACTGCCACGGTTAGACATAAAGAAAGGCAGACTTCTTGGTGACCATGTGGCAAAAACGTCAGGGGCCTTAACGTGGCTGCCACCTCAGCAGCATCAACAGCCATTGGCACATGCGCTGCCAGCATTCACACCCGTGGGCTGGAGCCATTCCAACTGACAGGAGGCAGGCGGGAAGACGTTTGGGGGGGGGGGGGATCGAGCAAGGTGAGAGAGGTGAGGGAGGTGGAAGAGAGGTGAGGGAGGTGGAAGAGAGGTGAGGGAGGTGGAAGAGAGGTGGGGGAGGTGGAAGAGAGGTGGGGGAGGTGAAAGAGAGGTGAGGGAAGTGAAGAGAAGAGAGCATTCAATCCAGCATACCAATGCAAAAACTCGTGCATGCTAGAGATGGACAGAGAGCAAGGTTCAGCTTGGCGCTACCATTTATGCTGCCATTTCAAATGCTATGAAAGTCTCGAGATGCAGCACCACTCGCCACAGGTCGTCTGGGCGCAGAGAGGAGGAGCAGGAGGCGGGAGATGCACCACTGACACTGCCGTCGCCGCTGCCATTGCCGCTGCTGGCGGCACTGCCTCTAGATGAACTCGTGCTGATTGACAGCTGCAGGCTCAGAAATGATGGTCTGATGGGAGCGCATAGGAGAAACTTGGGTGGAACGGGAGAAAGTGGGGCAGAGGAGTTAAGGGGAGGGAAAAGGGGAAGAGAGCAATTATTACCGTATATCCACGCTTGAATCCAACAGCCAGGAGTTGGAAGAAGAGGGAGAACAGAAGATGGGAGGAGATGGAACTATGT